CTACAGATCCAACAGTTATTTTGGTCCCTGTTAAATGTTTAATTTGGTCTTTCTGATAATTTATTTCCTCATTTGTTACATCCTTTGTTTCGTGAATGAACCTGATCCGCATTGGTCTGCAAAAGCATGGTGAAGAGGGTGATAGATTATTTCAAATTACTTTCTTATTAGTCTTACAAAGAAGCTAAAGAGGTACCAGTGACGACTGAAAAATATTTGCATCAGAGTCACTACTGTTAGTAAACCTTTGTTTATATTGGGCCTGCTAGGAGCCATCACAACCCCATTTATAACTGAGCTCTAAGGACATTAATTCATTTTGTGTTAATGATGTAAGAACTTCTTCCATATACATTATTAATCGCGTGGCTGTATGGTTTAGAAATGCCTGTAATTTAATTTCTGCACATGTTTCAGTGACCCGGTAAGCTTCAGCATCTGGGTAGCAATCTTGTTTTGTTTTTTGAAGAATGGAGTAGCAGGGGTATAGTTTCTTTGAACTTTCTCTTATAATTTCGTATTGTCTTCTAGTCAAAGAAGCTTTAACAAGCATAGATAAGGCTTGTGTAGGCGTTAATTGTATAACTTTTGACTCTGTAGTAGCGCTCTTTTTAAAGGCATCTCGATATTTATTACCACGTGTCGGTGATGACATAATATCCTTAACCACGTGTGCTACACTAACATTTCCAGATTCTCGAAGTCCCATTTGAGCAGCATAAAGGAGAGCTTCTGTCTGAATTTCCGTTCTCAGGTGTTCTGTTTTACGACGTTTACTACAATCACTTAATTTTTTAAAGGCTTTCTTCGGACGACCTGCATTTAATGTATATTTAAATGGTATATCGAGAGTGCCTTGCAACCAATCATAATTTTTTTGTAAAAATACTTTTTCTGTCCGTTTGGAAGTCTGCCATTTTGATTTCATTTCAGACTTAAGTCGCGAAAACTTTTTTATAAATTGTTGTGTTTGCTCTCTTGGAAAAGTAATTTGATTTAAAATTTGATTCTCTACTAAATCTAACTTTTTTGAAAAATCATTTTTTTTAAATTCCTGTGTCATACGATAGATGCTTTGTCGAGTCTTTGAAATGGAGGAGCCTATAACAAAGAAAAGCTTAGATTAATAATAATATGGCAAAAAGTTTAGCTTGCCCAATCACAACCCGAGTTTTATTTGCCGCATTGATATTTTTGGCAATTTCTGGCAGCTGATTTATTAAAACATGTTAAGTTAACAAATAAAATTTAAAGATTTATTCAAAATTAGATCCTGGAAAGGTCCGGAAGTATAACAAAATAGTCTTTTAACATATAAAAAATAGAAAAAACAAGGTAGAAAATCAATTATTTAACAAATGTCAAAAGAAATAATGTTATGATTTAATTGTAAAATAAGATTATAATTTTAGTTGTACATACCTGATTCTACAACATCCATCATAAAAACAACCAAAATTCATTTAACACAGCTTAAAAACACTAAAACTTCACAGTATTTTTTAGATATTTACTTAGTATAAATACTTGGAATCACCAAAGCGCTTAAATGACATCTGATAACGCGGAGTAAAGTGACGCTAAGTAAATAAGCATGGCCACCTATTATTCTATGGACATTAAGCGTACGCCTGGTAACTGCTACTTGCCGGAATTTGACATTTTGTTATTTTTGAATTTTAATCGACTTATAGACTATAGGCCACATACTCGTCTGTGCGCCGCGGCGATATTTTATTTTAATTAATAAAATTAACTTATTATTTTTATTAAACAACATTTTATGAAAGGTTCCAATCGACCTCCGCAACGGTGCTTTTTTTAAATATTATTTTGTTGCTGCTAAGGAGCAGTAGACACATCTTAAAATCTATAATGGGTTGCATAGTATGCAATCAGAGCTGCTTAGCACGAGTACTAAAAAAAGTATTCGTAAAATTTTAAGTACGAGTATTTAAAATATTTACTAGTAAGTACTCTACTCGTAAGTACATTTGTAAAGAGAGGTTACGGTTACGAGTAGTAATCGTGAAAACACGAGAAAAAGTACGAGTACTCTCTAAAAATTGGTTTGTCAAAAATGACTAATTGTCATAGCGAAAAAGAAGCCACTAATAATTCTCGTCAATAGCAATTTGTTTTTTTAACATTTAGCAGTCAATTTCCATATAAAATTGTTCGCTGAATCCGAAAATGTCCTCAAAAGTTAGAAAAGTAGAACATTTTTTGAGATATAGTCCATTTTTCATATAATATTGAATTGACTATATCTCAAAAACTCCTCCACTTTCATAATTTTTTAATTTTTCACTAATTTCCACTAATAACTGTGGTAATTAGTTATTTTCGACTAATTAATTTTTAGAGAGTGTACATTACATTACATTACATACAAACTTTGGTCCTGAGCTATAATAATACAAATACAAATTTATAAAATTATTTATTTTAAACATTATGTACATAAAATGGTTTATAATTTTACCTATTTACTTGTTATAAAACCTGCTTACGATATTTTGGCAAAAAATCATCGATATTATAAACGGAAATACTCGTATACATTACTGGTGAATTCCACGAGTGTTTTTTACGAGTACATTGAATTTGGTTTGTAAGTACGAGTACTTCCAATAAAAAATACTTATGAGTAAAAAAGTACTCGTACTTTTTTACTCATATTTGAAAAATGAGTATACAATACTAGTATTAAATCGGCAGTAAAGTTCTATTTTACTGCCGATTTCTTTTACTTTACTGCCGATTGTTGACTACTTTACTGCCGATTTCGGATAAAATTAATTTTAAAAATTAAATAATAAATTTATTTCTACTCAAACACTATTACGCTGTGTGGAGTTGATGTTTCGTTCAAACAATAATATGTATATTTTAATCTTTTTTTTTAATTTTAATTAAACCTTCTTTCCTCTTAAATTTTGTAAAAAAAATACCGTTTCGTATTACACAGTGCAACAGTGCAAAAGGGAATGGGATGAAACCAAAAGCAAATGAAAGGTAATAGCTTCTACAAAAAAACCCTATGAGGTTTTTTTTTAAACGCGTCTCAGTTTTTTATTATACGCATTTAAAGTTGGTAGATTTTTGGACACCCTATAATAGGAAAAAAATAAGTAAAACAATTTTAATTTTTTAAAATTATTCTGGCAATATAGTCGAGGAATCCATTCCAAGTAAAGAGCATTTTTACTAGAAAATTGGGCATTTTAATGCTTTAATCAAAACACAATACTTGTATACAAAAACTACATTTTTTTGTGGCAATATATTGTAATATATCGATGGTATTTTTGCAAAAGGGCGAATATGCCATTTTCCTGTTTTGATAAAAACAAAAAAAAAGTATTTCGGCGTATTCGCCCTTTTGAAAAAATATTATTACTACAAAAAATTGCAGTTTTTGTAGCAAAAACGAGATTGTTTAAAGGTAAAATTGATTTGTTTACTTAAAAACACATAATATTATGTACTATATAGTAAATCAGTGACAGCAACATCAAATGTTTTTCTTAATTAATATATTTAATTAAATTATTTTTTTTATTTAAAGGACAATATAATATAAAACAAAACTTAGTTCCAAAATATAAAAATGTAAAAAAATGTACCTACAATATTACGGTATACATATAATTGAATATGTTGAAAAGTTTGCAGAACTTGTAATAACAATTTAATTAAATGATCACAAAAGAAAAAGAAGTCAATGAAATTTGGTGTTCCAATGTTGTGGTATAATTCAGGTATTTTTTTAATTTTTATACTAAAACATGGTATTTTTGATTATATTAATTATATTTTGCATTTTTATCAATTTTTGGATGAACAGCTGGAACTTCTGGTACTTAAACTCGTGTTACTGCCGGTTACAGCAGTGATAGTTTTTAAATAAAAATAAAATAGCGAATTTAATAATGTTTAGTTAAGAAGTAAAAATGCTATTTTTTCTTAAAAAACAAGTTTTCTATACTAATAAATCCAAAATATTAAAAATTGCTTTCGAATATCACCTAGGGTATATTTTACAACAAACCGATGACAAAAATGGATTTCTTACCTTCAAAAATAGTAAAAATTAGTAACAATTTTTTGATAGCGTCCTCTTCTGAGGGTCTTTGGTAAAAATTAACATCACAAATAGATTCCTCGATCAAATTGACAAAATTATTTTGAATAATTAACATAGTTTTACTTATGTTTTTCCTATAGGGTGTCAAAAAATTTACCATCATTAAATGCGTACAAAAAAAAAACTGAGACGTGATATAAAAAAACCCTGATAGGGTTTTCTTGTGGAAAGTATTAACTTTCATTTGCTTATGGTTTTATTCCATTCCCTTTCGCAAACCTTAATTTTGTATCACAGTGTTATTAATGTCTAATATTATAATATTTTATTGGCAATAATAATACTAATAATTGAGTAATAAAATTTAACCAAAAATTTATTTTAAAATAGTATATTATTATACGAGAAATAATGCAGGCTAATATTCACGAGGATGAGGTTTACGTCTCGAGTCGCCAGACGAAAGACCTAAATCATCCAAGTGAATATTGCGAATATCTCGAGTGAAATACTATACTGTATCTACTCCAATAAATAAATCAAATCTGACATCTGTCAAATGGTTAACCTTACTTTTTACCAATTTTAAATGTTAATATAGTCGCCTTCTTCCAATTTAAAACTCGATTGGTTTAAATCACAGTGAATACTGAAATCGGCCAATCACTGATGCCTAACAACGTGAATACTGAGTTTATTATTCACGTTAGGCATGCTTAACAATATTCACGGAAAAACACCAAAATTATGCAATAGGAGTAGATAAACATTATTTATTCATTTGTTTTGTAAAATGTTTACATTTACAACTAATTTATCGTATTTTAACAAATTAATTTAAGTTAATTTTATATGTTAATACCATAATTATAAAAATATTAAAAAAAATATATAAAAATTCAATACTTACAATTGACATTTAATGCTATTCTTTTGCTGACCGCTGGTGGAACATCGTTGCTTGCAATGCACAAATAGGCGCCCATTTGCTTGCGATCCAATCTCCAAAAATGCAGGTTGGTCCCATTGTAACTTTCAACTGCAAAAATGAGAAAAAAAAATCAATTAACACCATCGAGAAATAAAGTAGTTGAGTGGATTGTATCATTAGGGATTAACCCAGCCAAGATCTTCCATAGTTTTTGCACTATAAAGTTTGAAATTTCCAAGTTATAACGTTGATTATATAATCCAGGGCAACACATACCAGAAAAAGACATTAAAGTTGAAATTGAAGTTTCTTCTGCATTAAAATTTCATGTTGCGAAATCGTCGCCTTTTTTGCCACGGATGCTTTTATTGTTCTTTGGAAATGTATATCAGAATAGCTTATGCTATGAGAAAAGTAATAATTTGATTATAGTTTGCGACACAACTGGTTTTCTGATTTAAAGTATTAATTTTGGTGAATTTTAAACGTTACTTTGTTACATGATAAAAATATTAATTATTTAAAATATACAATATTGTATTATAAAAAAGTAACTGATTTTGAACGAGGTTCCAATAATAAAATCAGTTATTAAGTATACAAATTATTTTTGTGAAAAATTATAATTATTTTTACAAATCGTTTTCTACTAAACATATTGACGTTTTATTATAAAACTCAATAAATAGGTAAAAAAATATTCATAATATATTGTATATATCATATACCATTTTTTTTGCTTAATTACGCATTTTTTAATACAATTAAATCATATTTTAAAAATTAAGTTAAACTGGAAAAATTAATGTCGATCTTATCAAACCTTTTTGGAAATTAAGAAGAGTGCTAACCATCGTTTTAAAATATGTAGGTAGTAATTTTGTCTTATACATTTATTGTGCGTTTTTTCGTATATTAGTAAATATATATTTTTTTATTTTATTATTTTTAATGTGCCTTCAACAGGCCTTTAAATGACAAACACAAATACAAATACACAGCCATACCCCTGGTGGGATTCGAACCCACGACCTCTCGGCTTGTAGTCCGCAAATCAAATCAAATCAAAAATATTTATTCATATTAATGTATATATACATTAGGGTGGGTCAAAAAAATCGACTATTTTTATTTTGATTTCTGCCACTGAAAAATCGGTTTCTGGGCACCTTCAAAACATGCTTAGCAACGATGAGCTCTTAACTTTGATGGGAAGATCCGCCTCATTACAGTTTTGCATATTTTTCTTAGTCTCCTACAAAAATTCATATCTCATCATTCGTTAATCATACAGCAAAACTCTAAAGAAGTTATTTGTAGAAAATTAAATGTTCTACAAAAAATATCTCTTATACTTTTTTGATCAATCTAACTATTAAAGAGATATTCAAGGTCAAATATTGAAGAATTTTAAGAAAGATAACTTTTCTGTTCTGAATTTTGTAACTTACTGAAAAAAAATTATCGACAATTGAGATTTTACTTTGTCTATTGGAAATTGAACGCTCTACAAAAAAGGTCTCTTAGGATTTATCGATTACTCTAACCAATCAAAAGATATTCGCATATCAATAGCAGTATGCACTGACATTCCAATGCGAATATCTTTTGATTGGTTACTTTCAGCTCGCCCGTAAAGATTCATTTACAAAGCTTGACACGTAAATAACTATTATAGTGCTAACTACTACACCACCGAGGGCGATAATATATTATACTATATTATATTATGAATAAAGTTTGATAAACGCCATTTTAGTCACGAATTTTAACTAGGCACTAGCGAAGCTTGCAAACAAGTTAATAAACGAGTTTTAAGAGAAGTTTATTAAATTTGTGCTTTTTCTACGACGAACACCAAAGTAAATTTTTATATTATAATATTTTTTTATTACAAAATTTTACCGTTAATCTCTTAAAATGAATTAGTCAAATTATACCGAATAAAATAGTCGAATTAGTAGATTTAAATTTAACTCGGGTTTCTCGCTTGTCAAGAGGATGTCTAACCGCTGCGCCACTGCTACTTTTATAAAAATTAGTTATATTTGTTTATAATAATATTTTAAATCTGAATTTTTTTACTACATTCATTTAACTCTAACAATAATATGTTGTTGGCCGCAAGAATTAAAAACAATTAAAGAAATTATTTACTTTTTACTTTCAGAAACATTTAAAGATGGTATCTTATTAGTGAAACTATTTTATTAGTAAAAAAGCCTGGTATTAATTTAAATGGTAGAATTTTGACTATTTCATTTTAAGAGAGTACTACTTTCATTTTAATAATATTCAAGTAGGTATAAAAAAAATTTTTTATGTGATGTGTGAAGATTTTTAGGGATCGTATGCAATAAAGCCAAGACAAATAACACACTGCTGTCCGAATATCTGTGTCCGTTATCAAGGATAATAAGGGTGATTTTTTGCGTACCTTTTACGGCATCTCGTGCTCCTTTGCGTAGGATAATGGGTTGGCCGTCCTCGCGTCTCCAGGCGATCCTGGGGATTGGATGACCGGTTGCCCTGCACCACAGGGTGGCGTTTTCGCCCTCTGACACCGACAAATCGGCGCTGGTGTCGTCGTTAACGATATCTGGAGGCACTAAAACAATAAAATAACAAAAATTAAAGAAGATTCTAAAATTATATTACTTGTGTTGAATTTTTCTTTTTTACAATATTGTTTAAAAAACAGAGTAACAGTTTCATCCAATCCTACCTTGATTTTTGAAGAAAGCTAAGAATAATAGTATATTGTGCAACTAGTGTAGAAAATTGTCGATTAAGAACAAGTATTTGATAAAAACTAATAAAAAATTAACACATATGTAGAATGTGACCTTTAGTTTATTGTAATCACAGATCATAAAGATTGATTCTATTTTGGACATTGTCGACTTGACAGAAGTGTTTTGAGCTTTTAAGGTTTTAACCTTAAAATTTCTAAAATTGTTTTTTTATGTTTTTTATTCAAAATTTAGATATGCAGGTGCAAATAGCAAAAAACAAAAATACATTTTATTATAATTTTACTTTAAATTTTAAACATTTTTGTTTTTATTTATTATAATAATTTAAGAGGTGGCGCACTGAACTTTACCATTTGCAATTAAATGTAGTTATCTTAAATTGGTCTATAAATTAAAATTTCTTAACGAAAGTTATATTAAAATTAAAAAAAACTCGGGTAAAAGTGAGGTTAAACCCCTCTGAGAGATGTTTCAATAAATTTTTAATTTTTAAAAGTATTTAATTAAAATAAAAAATATAGTATCACACTCAAGATTATGCGCATTATTCACTGGGATAATTTGCGTCTCTCGCCTGGCGAGACCTTTAAATTCTGTAACTTGTTTTAAACGTGTATTGTTCATTTTATAATTATAATTATATAATACAATGCTTTTTCTTTGTATATATCATGATACTACATATATTTAGTATCATGGTATATATCATATTCTTGTATTTATTGATTTTTAAATGAATGTTATTTTTGATACACCAATTATATAGACTATTCAAATTATTTTGCAGCTTAATGCAATCATCAATAGTTTTCATTTCTAAGTAGAGTTTTAGATCATCGGCAAAATTTAATAGTAAATAATTAAATTATTGAAAACTGTTAAAATGTCTGTTAGGTCGTTGATGAAGATAAAAAAACTAGTGGTCCTAGATTGGATCCTTGTGGAACACCGGATGTTGGAGTAAACGGTTTAGAATAAAACTCATTGTAAGAAACATACTTTCTATCTGTTAAATAAGAAATGAAAAAAATTATTAAATGGTCAGAAAATCCGATTTTTTTTAATTTGATCTTAAGTCTATTATGATTTATTTGGTCAAAGGCTTTCTGAAAATCTGTATAGATTACATACACTTGTCCATGATTATCAAGTACATTACTGGCAAACTGTGTAAACAATGTTAAATTGGAAAGCGTTGACCGTTTTCAACAAGACAATGTTGTTGATTTGATATTATATGAATTAATTGAAAGTATATCTTTTATAAATAATACTCTCGAACAATTTTGCAAAATTACAAAGGATTGCCTATAGTTTTGTACGTTAGAAGAATCACCGGATTTGAAGATCGGAACAATTTTTTAAATTTTCCAAATTTTGGAAAATTTACCGGTACGTACAATTAGTTTAAATAGATACAGTAAGGGTTTCAATAGTCCAAGGCTGCAATCCTTAGCAATATAGCTTGGAATATAATCAACTCCGCTAGTAAATTTGTTTAGCTTTTTTACTGCATTTAAAATTTCAGTTTCAGTTATTGGATCCACTTTATTATTATTTAAATTCGGTAAATGATATACACTTGAAAAATTGATAGCAAATATATTTTTAATATCTTCAGGATTGGTGGTTTAGTTTCCATTATAATGCATATATGTATTCTAGTACACCCTTTTTTACTTTAAACAAATGACCAAAAGGATATTGGTCGTTTTTTACGTTATGTTTGATTTTTTAACGATTGTAGGAGATTTGACAACTGTCAGCCAACTATAAACTAACTTCAGACCGTGACTAAAACTTGTTGCTATACCCGTGACTAAAACGCCATAAAGCCACAACTTGTAAAGGTGTATTTAAAAGGTCAATTAGTGTCATGGAAACATGTAAAGGGGGGAGTAGAAAAAGAAAACTAATTAAAGTTGCAGTGCCGGGACACAATTCTCATGAAAATTTTAGAAATTTTACAGCTGCTTAACAGCTGGTCTCTGGCAGTATTACTTATGTAAGCTGTAAAATGAGACGCTGAAATTATGTTATCAACGTGTTTTCCTTCCGTGTTTATAACCCTCCTCAAGTCTGTGACTTAATAGTTATATTACATTTCGGTTTAATAAATAATGATAAGAAGAATTAAATAAGGAACAAATGTATTTTATAATTTATAATGAAAAACCTGTTAATCTATTTTACATACTAAATTAACATTTTTTATAGAAAATATTGCATTATACCATGGTATTTTATTTAGTGCGTAAACAAATCTGTAAGAGTATAACAAAGGGTTTAACAATAGGGAAGTCATACATTTTGGCGACTATATTTAAAAAAAAATGTAATTATTATTGACCTTTTAGATCTGTTTAATCTACTGACAATAAAATTCATTATAATTAGAACCAATAAAATGCCAGTATTCCATGGTTACGCATTTTATCACAGCGACAATATTTTTTATCACCTTGTTTACACGTTTCTAAGGATTTTGACACTTTTCTTGATTTGACATTTGTTGACATTTAAATACTGTGTTTGTTAAATGATTAAAATAATGAATTATAAGTTTAAAAGTTTTAAGTCTACACTGAAAAAACTTAGCATTAAATATAAACGCTATGCATTTGTGGTAAAGTAGTTATGGCCTAAGAAACGTGCATTTGATATAAAGGCATGGTGGATTTGAAATACTGAAAGTTAGTTGACCTATTTTTAACTGCATCATTACTTTAAGTAAACATCGGGTTGCCTTAACATATAGAATATGCTTATTTTTGAAACACATTAAATGGATTTGTTTTTAAAACAATGTCTTATTATTTATTGCTTGGAGCCTGATAGCAAACAGCATTTTTAGGTAATATGTTCTTCAGTAATAACGATGACCTTAATGTTAAGGCATAATTCTAGAGTGAAAATGCAAAACTAAGTACCAAATTAGCGGATTGCGAGATTTTGTTTTGATCTGCAGACATGTTACATGTCACATGTACTTGGGTATTACACTGAAAAAACTTAGCATTAAATATAAACGCTATGCATTTGTGGTAAAGTAGTTACGGGTTCGGATATGGCCTAAGAAACGTGCATTTAATATAAAGGCATGAAGGATTTGAAATACTGAAAGTTAGTTGACTTATTTTTAACTGCATCATTACTTTAAGTAAACATCGGGTTGCCTTAACATATAGAATATGCTTATTTTTGAAACACATTAAATGTATTTGTTGTTAAAACAATGTCTTATTATTTATTGCTTGGAGCCTGATAGCAAACAGCATTTTTAGGTAATATGTACTTCAGTAATAACGATGACCTTAATGTTAAGGCATAATTCTAGAGTGAAAATGCAAAACTAAGTACCAAATTAGCGGATTGCGAGATTTTGTTTTGATCTGCAGACATGTTACATGTCACATGTACTTGGGTATTACTTTTTTTTTGTTTTATCAAAATTGTTAGCACTTGAATAATTTTAAGTAAACAAAAAAACGTTTATTGATACAAAAGTACAGACCACATAAATACCTAACAAAATCTCAAAATCCGCTGATTTGGCACCGGTTTGCATTTCCACTAAAGAATATGACTAATGTAAACTAATGTATAGCCTGAATTTCATACTTTTTGTTTGATTGATGAGAAATAAAATGTGCATATAATATTTTTAAACAATTTTATTACATCCTATTTTATGGAATATAAAAATACAAAATGGACTAAATAAATACTCTTAGGCTGTGGTCAGAGCACCGTGATCGGCCGAAATTTAATACTGTAGCATACGGCCGATGCCGAACGACTCTGACTACATATTTAAAACATTTAACAAAAATACTACATTTTGATGCTGATAAAAGATCATTAATTGCTCCTGCTTATCTCGTAACTCTGTAATTTTTTGATGACTGCAAATCTCTCTCCTATTATAATTTAGAAATAAGTTGGCAAACACTTTGCGAGTCGAGGACTAGCAGCAATTCAAGCGTAATGGCTTCTTCTAAATAATAACAAAGAGTCACCTATCATAACTGTACCTTTCCCACAGTAAACAAATTAATATTTAACTTTTATATTATTTGGTATCTATAAAATATGAGTATAGGTACCTACCAAATAATTGAAATTAATTTACATGAGTTCTAATCACTTACCTTCGAACTTGGGAATAAGGTGCACAAGACCTAAACCCTCCAGTAGCTCCTTACATGACATTTTTTCTCTACCATAAACACAAAAAACTGTTCTATAAAACAGACAAAACGTACAAAGTATCTGCATAGAGGCTCTCGTACCAATGACGCAATACCAACTTAATAAACTTAGGTTATGATTTCTGTCTGATGCTTGCAAGGAATGTAAACAACGAATACTAACGTTAAAATAAATTCATTGTGCATTAGTTTTATCCCTATATAACCTATAACAATAATAGCTTGATTATTTAATAAAATCCCTGAATTCATAACAATAAAGAAACAAGTACTTCCAATATAAAATAAATGTTTATATATTTACCCTAAAGAAAATTGTCTTAATAATAAAGACACGCAGGGTTACATTAAATTCATGTACCCAAATGCTCTACGAGTTAAATGCTAGGAAACACTTATTATAATAATATTGAATGTTTCATTAAATTAATTACGGTTCTTAACTTTTATAGACAGTGTTTTAAATAATAAAAGGTTGGCCTCAAATTCACCTACAACTTAAAAATTAATACTGACTTTTTTCAGTGTACTTTTTTTTGTTTTATCAAAATTGTTAGCACTTGAATAATTTTAAGTAAACAAAAAAACGTTTATTGATACAAAAGTACAGACCACATAAATACCTAACAAAATCTCAAAAT